GGGGGGGGGGGGGGGAGAGAGAGAAGGTGAAAAGATTTAAATTTTCATGGATCTTCCAAACAGCTGGTCTGCCTTGAAATGGAAGGAGGTCACTTTGAACAATTATAACTAAGAGTTGCCATAGTTTGATCATCTGATAGCTTGAGCCATTGAAGGTGACGTGTATAATGAAAACTACATGCCACAGAATGTATGATGTATAATACTTTCAACATGTCTTTTAACAAGGAATTAGACTATGATGAGCTTGTGCGCAAACTTCATTTCATCCTGCATGTTTTATAAGAATTTAAAATTCAGACCTAATTGCCTGTGCTCATTTTAATGTACACCATATATAATTTTATATGCCAAATGTACTACGTTCAAAAACTTAACATCTGAAGATGACCAGTTTGGAACACTGCCACTAGTTGTTTTATAACACAACAGAATACTGTCTACAATCTGTATGACAATGTGGTGGCTTGCATGTGTGTTAAAAGTGAAATTCAAATAACGTTTTTGCAACCCTGTGGCCCCAACAAATTTTCACATATCCTTCACCACTAGACATTTTGTGGGTTCCAGTTTCAAAAGTTCTTATAAAAGAATATAAAGAAACCACAATTAGTCAAACATATACCATCAGTGAAAAGGAATCTGCTTCATTGCTGAGAAACCAGGCTTCACAGACTATAACTAGCTGCTCTTACAGAACATTTTTCTTACTTAAACAAACAAACAAACAAAAATACCAACAACAACAACAATTTTAATGAGCAAGCCTGCCCGGTGTCCTTCCTGCCTCTCTTATTAATAAGTAGGATTTGAGGTTCTCAAGGTTGTGAGTGCAAAGATGGGTTGTACCACTGTAATGTCTGGTAGAATTTCACGGATGTTTCAGAGGTCTTTGCTGCCTCCATCATCAGGGCAATGAGTAATGATGGAGGCAACAAGGACATCTGAAACACTGACAAACTTTTACCAGACTATACAGCACGACAACCCAGATGACAGTCATCTTCGTATTTTTAATGTTGTATTACCTATGTAGCTTACTGTAATCTTTAATCCAAGTGACAAACAGTAATGCATGTGTGACCTGTAGTTATACAAAAATATGTATCTTACCAACCCATTATGTCCCAACATTAAATTTTCCAAATGCACTCAAAGAATCACAAAATGTTTCGAGAAAATCTGCATAAATCTACCAATGTGTGTCCTTCACAAATCAAGGTTAAAGGACAAAATGTTGCCCCAAAATATCACAAGTGGCAAACCAAATGAAAGTCCCATTTAAGAGCTGTCAATTGTATAATGTTGAGTTCTCTCTTAATAAGACCAGTTATAAGCATTATAGTGAATCAGCATGAGAAAATGTAAGGAAAACCTCAAAATGCAATAACTGAAATTAACTGACACTAGAAAAAAACTTCATATTTATCACTTAGTCATTGGACTCTGTAGGCTTGTAACATTTTACTGAGATTCAAGGTGGTCATTCAACTGTTGTTGATTTGATATGGAATGGCCCATTTTTTAACATATATTCTAATATTACCCTCCCACCTATAACTACTCTCAAACAGTCTCTTCCCTTAAAGATTTCCAACAAAAAATTTGTATGTATTTCTTATATCCTCCATATGTGCTCTTATCCCAGCGACCTCTTCCCTCTCGATTTACTGAATCTATTCATCGGTATTCCAGAAAGAGTTCCTGAAGCTCATTATGTGGCAGAAATGTTTCATTTTTCTGTAAAATTGCGAAGTTTACAATATTCTGAAACTCTGCAAACACTGTGAATCTTACCAGAGTTATGGGTGAATATTTCTGGAAGGGCATAGTTTGAAAGTCGTCTCCTCTCTGTAGATGTATAAGCTCTATCATGGAAATGATCTGAACAAAGTCTGTAAGATGTGTTAAGTACGTCTACACCTTTCTCTAACAAGTGCAGACAACCAGCACGTTCCGCCCATATTCGGCACCTAAACAAAATATACAATAAAATCCAACTGTGCGTAAGGTTACAAGAAGATGTAAAATATGAGATCATGTATGATAAAAATTTGAAATAATTCTTAAACAAAAACCTGAAGGGAAGAGACTATTTCAGAGACCTAGGCACTAATTGGAGTACAGTGTTAATTAAAATGGGCCATAAGGAAATGACGCAAGGATGTTGACTGGTATCTTCTGGTTCAGAACAGGTTCTGACAAGCTCATGTGAACATGGTAATGAAGGCAGCACATTTCTTGATTAACTGAGCAACCATTAGCTTCTCAAGAAGGACTCTGCTCAATGGCATTAGTTTAATAATCATGTATTAGCATCTCAAACAAGGAAAAAAGTTGTAACAAAAACAATCAGAACATTTGGCAATTCACCCTTATACTTTTGAAAATTCCAGTGTCTCAGTCGTGGCATATATGAACTTACTTCAAACCCTATTTTATATATGTTGCACACATGTTTATGCCTAGTGAAGTGAAAAAATGGTTTAATTATCTGTTTTCACATGAGAAAAGGATAAGAACACAAAATAAGTGCTGTAGCATTCAAACCTTAAGAGATTTTTAAAATTTTATATTTATGCTTCAATAAGGTTTTACTTTACAATCTTAATATAACCACAAACTAAAAAATTATCAAGCTGTATAATGTGGCTATGGAATCATTGTAATTCAGAAATGTGCCCCTGTCAAAAGAAAAATTATTTCAGAATAGGGATAGCTCAGTCAGTATAGTGACTAGCTACGGGCTGGACGACCGGGGTTCGATCCCCGACGGGGGCAGAGGATTTTTCCTCTAGCCTCTGCGTCCAGACCGGCTCTGGGGCCCACCCAGCCTCCTCTACAATGGGTACCGGGGTCCTTTCCCGGGGGTAAAGCCGGCCGGGGCGTGATGCTGACCACTCACCCCCATCTAGTGCCGAGGTCAAGGAAGAGAGGAGCTATACCTCCTCTCACCCCAAACGCCTACATGGCGTATAGTGGGACAAACTTTACTTTACTTTACTTTACTTATTTAACATACAAAACAAATAAGCAATACAAAGATTACTTTTTCTTTAGACAATGCCAAAACGTTCTGCAATAATTTTACAACACAATACTACATTACTAAAAATGTATACTTATGACAAACATGCATTACACACTGACATCAGAATATCAAGTGGTAGTGATACACCATTCGCAAAGAGAGTCATGTCATGAGAGTAGAAACTGTCAGCAGGAGTACATAAGGCACATTACTTATAGCAATACTCCTTACAATTACAAATGCAATCAAAATACTCATGTAAACATTTGTTTTTTGCCGAATGCAGGTTATCAAATGTTTATAGCTGGAAGGCCACGTTATATTGACACTGTGAATGTTATCATTAACATATACCATATACTTATTATGTATGAGATAAACATGTGAATAATTACAACAAAACATTCACTGACATCCAGTTCACAAACATGAAGAAATAAGTAAGGTTTGAGGTTTTCACAATGGTGAGTATGAAGCTTTCTGTCTTCTGGGTTGTTGCGCTGTGTAGTCTGGTCGATGGTTACCAACGTTTCAGAGGTCATACTGCCTCCGTCACCAGGGCGATGAATATACCATCGACCAGAATACACAGCGCAACAACCCAGAAGACAGAAAGAAGCATGAAGAAATAAGTTTCAGGACACATTTCAATCAACTTTCCTCTCATGAAAATGGGTAGGCCTATATTACTTTAGTATCATGTACATTCTCTGTCTGTCTGTCTGTGTGTGTGTGAGAGAGAGAGAGAAAGAGAGAAAACCAAGCACATTAAATGTTCAATGTCCCAAACTGCAAGTGATGTAAGTGTACAGCTGGCATTATAATTTGAGTCAATTGTAATAAGCCCAGTATTTCACAGAATGAAAAGAGAAGTCAGTTCATGAGTTTAGGATCCACATAGGATGTATGACTTCGCATTCCAAACCCTGAAGGTTTGTGACATGGTGTATTGTTATAACAACAAACATTCTGAACATTATCCACTGTCTTGATTTATTTTGTTGAAAAACATGACATTTCAGAGGCTGGAAACTGTCTCTGTCCTCAGGTAAAGAACCTATTCCATTAGACCCAATCGATAGAGCTAGTCTCCATCTCCAGACAACATTAGCAGTACACATCAAAGTATAAAAAAAGAGCGGACCAGCATGTATCCGTGGGAGATAAAATGAATAAGTACCAACTAAAAATATAATAAATTAGATAACCAGTTATCTGATTAAGAAATGCTGATGATACTTTATAGTCTGGCCACATAGATCAGCAAAATCACAGAAATTTCCCCATCACCTAAATAATCTCAGACCTACTATACAATTCACCAAGGAGATGGACACCAACAATACCATCCCTTCTTTGATATGTTGGTTACAAGAAAGAGCTCAAATCTATCCATAAAAGTGCACAGAAAACCTATCGACACAGGTTATTACATTATTCACAACCTTTACAATTTCATCAAAGGTTTTCAAACAAAACTGGCCTTATGAGAATGTCAAATGAAAGCTAACAACTATTCTAATTTCCTAACTTCAGCAGAGGTGAATAATTCAGACAAACACAGGAATTGCATCAGGACTTGTACTGAGGAACTTAACAGCTGATTTTCTGAATCAAAATAAGAAAATTATTAAAAATACCTTGTTCTCAATTTTTTGTGGAAACTGATACCACACTATCAAACCTACAACTGAAATTGGCTGATTTTCAGAGAGGCTGAATGCTAAAGGAAAAATTCTGTGATTCCTGTTCAAAATATGTTCGTCCCCCAAATATCCTGAAATCAGAAAATACGCTTTGTTAATACTGTCTGTGATTAGCAGTACTTACTGCTGTGAGCAACTGTTCATTTAACGAATGTAAAATCAAGATGCACGTCACATCTTACTGATAAACAATTTGAGGGATGCATACAAAGTGCAGCAACAGAAATTAAACCTGATGACAGAATACACAAGTAAAAGCAGTGTCAAGAATCTCACAAGTGACAGATCTTGTTAAAGAGAATAACTGAATATGTGTGTGAACATTTTAGTTATTACTATATTTAATAAAATTCCATTAGTTTTTTTAAAAACAACAAAAAAAGGGTCATTTCTGACCCTACGAGTGATGTGTTCTAATAGGAAAGGGCGGTGAGCTTAGTTTGGGAATAATACAGTCAATGTCTTATAAGACCAATAAATTTAAAACCCATAGTAGCATAACAGTGCTGTGTTCATTTTTGCAGCTTTGAGAATCTTTCCCACATCCGTTTCAAGTGCAGACGTACCAGACTGCTGGGGTCAGCTGAGATGCCAGACTGTTCTTAAACTGGATTGTTTCAACCTATAGTCCACATGCGTCAACCAACAGTAGAAGAGACTGGAGGACAGATTTGTAGAGCAGGGATAGATTCTTCACAAGAGCAAGTGTGGAAGTGGCATCTCCACTCATAGTTCACATGACTTCCAGTTGTACTATACTACCTATATTTAGGTTACAACACACTTTGTTGTTCTTATATTAACAAATTTCATGAAGTTTGTTTGTCCATATGTTCAAGCTAGTAAAGACATCATTCATGCAGTTTTAAATAAAACAATTTCTGGATGCCAAATAATAATTGTATCATCAGCTAAATGGACTGAGGGTAAATCACTGATAGTACACAAGAAAAACTATTACTAATAACAAGTTCTGATAAATTTCTAACAAGAGGTTTCACCAGTGCAATATGCAACAAATGAAGTCCCATGTAGACAGTAAGTTACTTATCTATTATCCCATGTGGTTAAAAACATAACATAACCTTAATAGAAATTAATAGTCCAGCTATTTTATCACAGTCTGAAGGTTCCCGCCTATATTGTTATTTAAAATACAAAGTATTCGAACGAATAAACATGAAATTTTGAATCTGGCATATTTGCTAAATACACCGTGCCTGTTATACATATGGGATGTTACATGTGGTCTAAATCCAACCCAACGGCAGGTCACTTTATTTCGTCTTATATACTGAAACATTATGCGTCAACAAAATCATTACATATTCATAAATCACATAAATACATGGAAGACGAAAACGATTTAATTTCGACCAATTACACCAGTAAATAGGAACGTATTATTTTGGAAATCGTTATCTATTTCAACTTTGTTAACGACCGAATGCATCAGGATATCTTCAACGTTCTTTTTTAGACTGAATATTTCCGATATGAATAACATTTATACTGTTACTAAAATACTGTATGGGCATTTCACAACATTACAATTTCAAACAACATCGGAGCATATCATTTTAATCTGTGGCGGGAGCTACATAGGCGGCACAGTTATTGAAAATCTGCACTAAATTACCTTTCGTAATCTTTTGGAAAGCGATGTGTTAATGAAGTGGTGCTCCGACAGTTTAATGCTGCACAGCGTCGTTTTATTCCTGACATATTAAAAATTTCTACACTTTCCACGCATCCATTACAGATTCAGTCACTCACTACACTGGAATTGATGATGATTATGATGCGTTGTATGTTCACTTCCTGCCTTATGCCGCCATTTTGAGTCTAATGGAACTATAGTAACGCATAACGCCACAGCAAAGCAGCTTTCCCACTTGCGTCGCCCATGTTTGGGATTACGTCACTTTCGGTAGAAAATTTTTAGTAACCATAAATGGCTGATGGCCAAAGTAATGGTATGGAATAATCACCATCTATTGTATCACACAAATAGGTTATTAACCCACATGTTATATTATATATACACGTTTCGGCGTGTCGCCATCATGTGTTTTTGGAGGTGATATACGACAAATGTTACCAAAATATATATTTAACAGGCATGGATTTATACTTGCAAAGTATAATTGGTAAATGTTTAAATGTTAAATTATTGTTTTGAAAATGAATGTAAAATGTTAAAAAGTGAAGATAATATGTAGTAGTAGCTTAGAAATTGCTGAATATAGAATTGGAGGTATGTCAGCTGATGTAGAGATCGATTGTTTGATTACTATGTTGGTACCCCGTTAGAGTGTGTTCAGCATACGTTTAGTGTAAACTCACACATTTACTTATGGCCCCCAAATTCAGATACATTAGCCTGCTCCATCAATACTAGAATTGACATAACAGTTATTAACCTAAATCATCTCTTCTTTAAACTTGGTTCTGATAACATTTAATAAGTTTCAGTAAACTTAAGATGCCACCTGCATCCCTGATCTTAAGCTTCACATAATAATTTCATCATAGAAACCACAATGATATCAGACAAGGCATTTACTGACTTTGGCATCTCATATTCTAATAATACCCGATGTACATGTACGTTACACCTACAATTCTACATTTAACAATATTGAAGCCAAAGTCAGGCATGTTCTATCACCAGTTGTATGTTTACTTTCATCATTTTATATACTATATTTTAGCATTTTAACTTCACCAGTTACACAGTGGTACATAAATTTCTGTATTCATTACCCAGACAACAGGATTCTACCATTTAAGATCACCATTTACTTTCATTGTTATCCTGAACCAGTTGTCCATATATTTTCCTAAAAGTTGTGAAAGTAAACCTGTCATAAACAAATGTTTTCAACAAAACTGCATACATTCCTTGCTTCCATTTTCAGATGACTTGCAGCCCCTCTTACTGTTTGTTTAGGTGAACAAACCTGTATTACTCTGACATTTCAGTGGTGTCTTCGATTTAATAGTAGTAGATATGTGTAATTTGTAAGTAAAATCATTTCACATGCATCAAGATGGGTTGTTTTGAAAGTTACCAGAAACATTTAATTTTTTTATGACATACCATTCTGTTTACCTTAACTAGGTATTCTATTATCAAACAGCCTTAAATATGTTTATATATTTTTAAAATATTAATATTTAATAACTGACATTCCTTGCAAATGTGGATATAGATTTCTGTTAACATATGTCCTAGTATATGTTCTTTAATAAAACAAGGTCTGATAATGGCATAAAGTGCTAAAATATGTTGGAATGTCATATTGTGTATTTAAAAATAAAGTGTATATGACAGATACTAGAATACATAGTTAAACCTTTAGTAACATTTATGAGTTTCAGTAGAATTTAATACCCATCACAGCAAATGCCTCTTACGTAACATATACATAACAACTTGCTCACTCAGAGCTGCCACAGAACCTTGTGCTTTGTCAAGTGGCATGGCTAAGCCTGTATACTAGTGGAAATTAAGTCACTGGGTTAGCCCAGCTAGTCAGAGGCTGCTCACGGCAACATACAACCGACTGCTCAAGGAAACTTCATGTTTAGAGTAACTTCTGTACAGAATAATCCACAGTTATGCAAGAAAGATCTTTCACCAGTTTCTTGAATCTTGGTACAACTGTACCCCAGTTGGGGATATATTCCATGGAAGGGGGGGGGGAAGAAATAAGAAAAGAAAGAAACAATTTTTCCCATAATTAATACAAAATGAGGGAATATTTACATTTCCAAGGAATAAAACAAAACAAGTTAGCTTTAAAAATATCCAAGTTTTGCAATTTTGTTGCTGATTAAAAATAAAGATGCATCGCCTAATTAGATTATGTCCAACCTTTAACTTTAATCTTATCCAACTGCATTCAATTTAAATTAGCTTATTTAATACCATCAAATGCAACAATTACATTTCAAGAAAACTATTAATTACAATATAATAATTATTGGTGTTAACATTTGTATTATACTAGAGCAGGGCGCTCCTTTCGGAGCTCCTACGGGGGGGTTGGTCAAGTTTGTAAAACGCAACCAACCTTGTGTAAGAAACTAAACTAACCGCCCCGAATTGAGGGTTAAAACAATAGGGGGTTGGTTGCGTTTTGAAATCTTAAGTAACACGCTAAACTAACTGCACTTCGGGGGGTTAGTTAAGAATCTCGAACCCCCCTCAGGGGGGTTGGTGGCGTTTTAAATTCTTGAGTAAGACACTAAACTAACCCCCCTTCGGAAGGGTTAGTTTATGTCTCATTCAAGTGTTTTAACCCTTGAGTAAGAAACTAAACTAACTCTCACCCCCGAATGGGGGAGTTAAAACACTTGACTAACTCCCCATTCGGGGGGTTGGTTACGTTTTAAAATCTTGAGTAAGACACTAAACTAACCCCCTTCGGGGTGTTAATTTAGTGTCTTATTCAAGTGTTTTAACCCTTGAAGAACAGTATGATTTGGATGAATATTATTATTATTATCAGATTACATTTTTGGTGTTGGTAACGTCTTCTTTCACTTTTCTTCATTTCTTATATATAGTCTAATGTCGCTGTTCGGAGACGATATGGAGCAATGATAATGCGACTGGCTTGGTACTAAGCTATTTGTTTACTCTGCATTGTTGTGTACACGTCACTGTTGTTCCACAACAATTCCGTGTATAAACAAATTAAAGGTGATATTGTTGATGACGTCAGTTTTTTTGACGAAAACGACGACTAATCCTTTCGGAGCGCTTCCAGTAATCTGATATTTTACTTCTTTACGTCGCTGATCAGAGGCCAACAGTTCTATGTTTGTCAACTATCTACGTCCAACCCCACCCTTTCAAGTCTTCGTTTGTTTTCGTCTGCTCTTCTGTTCCTGTTGAGTAAGTTTTCTTCGTTTATCAATGTAAATCTCCCTTCCTTTTTCTTTACTTGTTAAGTAGGTCTGATGTTTTTGTTCTTTACTTCGCTGTTCAGAGGCCAACTGTTCTTGGTTAGTCAACTATCTACGTCCAACCCCAACCTTAACCTTGCAAGTAATTCCCCCTTCG